GCCTGGCCTAAACTGAAAGGAACTGACAAAATCTGGAGGAAAATGTGTCTTTCTAAATACTCAGGAACATTTTCTTTTTTCTTCATCGTACCTCTAACAAGTGGTGCTAGCAAATATTTTTCAATCTCACAGAGTTCAAATAAATGCTTATGATTGACTGTTACCGCTAAAGACAGCAAAGATTTCCATCCAACAGCTGTCAGCACATAAGTCTCTTTCCACACGGTCAATCAGCACCTCTTAACCAGAACCCCACGGAGCAGGCATTTCAAAGGGGACCCTACATTTCAAAGCCTCCCAGAAGTCATGGATATTACTTCTTCCCTTCCCCACCAGAGATTGAGTGTGGGGGGCACTGGGAATGTTTCTACTTTAGGTTGGCCTTTCAGCTACATTTTAATGTTATCAAAACACATCAAAAGTGTAAGAAATTCTTTTGAGACCCTCTACAAAAGAGTATTATACCACAAAAATAATTTATAGATATAATTCTATATATAATTACATATATATATTTTTATATATAGTCAAACGAGTGGCTCTTGTTTTGAAAACATTACTCGGGCCATTTTGGTCCATCATCAAGTACTTGCTGAGTGTTTTATTCCAAGAGCTGGAGACACAACAGAAAACAAAGGTTCCAAAGTCCGAGACCCGACAAGGCTGAAGATCTGGCCTAACTGGGCAGACCTGGTCAAACACATAAAGGCATACACAACATCTCCGGTGGCACTGGCCGCTGTGGAGGCACAGACCATGGCAGAGGGTGCGCTTTTATCTCCGGGAGTTGGAGAGAGCCTCTTTCCTAGAGGAGGAAGAATGCTGCGGGGCAGACAAACAGGCAGGGTGAAGAGGAGTAAAGAGTGCAGGCTGGACGGAGGGGGTGAGCCATGGAGAACGGCGGGAAATGAGCTCAGAGTAGCAGCCAGGACCCGGGACCAGACGAAGGTCGTGAGGCGGTGGTGAGTTATAATCGGGAGGAAATGGCAGCCGTGGAGGGTGGTGATCTGACTTGGGCTTTGAAGGCATGAAGGCAACACACGCCAACTTGGTCGGCTGATTATTCCATCTGAAGTCACCTGAGACACTGGAACTACAGAAAGGGCCACATGGCCTGACCTTCCCTACCTGCATAACCTCTAAAGATGCTTGGGGAGGGGCTGGAAAATAGCTTTGATCATCAGGGTCCTGCAGATGGAGCTGAACCTGATAAATGAAGCCAGAAGGGGCCCTCCCGCTAGTTTCTGCGTCCCCGTCTCCATCTCGTAACAACATCCCTGGGACCTTACTACAGTAGCCCACATCGTCATTTTTCCTATCAGCTATTTACAAATTTATTATTCTCCTTCGAAAAGGGATAAAAGCACTATGCTTTGGTTTCTTCTTCAAACTTTCTCTTGTGAAGTTCCCCACGGATATGTAAAATTATTGAAACTTGTATGTTTTCCTCTTGTTGACCAGCTCTTGCATTAGTTGGGCTCCCATCTGGAGGCACTTTGCCCACTTAGAGCTAAGAGGAGGGTGCAGGACACCTCAGTGTCCCCACAGCTCCCAAAGGATCATTCTGCCAACAGATCAGCCCAGGGGGTGGCTGGGCAGAGCGGCCAGGGCAGAAAGGAAACTAGTTGGGAGCCGACTGAGGGGTGCCACTGTGAGGTGGCAGAGGCTGATACATGGGGAGCAAGAGCAGAGCTGGGGACAAGGAATCCCATTCCAGGTATTTTTGTCATGGTAGAGGTCTGTGAACAGATTGCAGGTGCAGCGTAAGGAAAGGGCCCAGGTTGAGCACAGCTCTATGGAGGTTGGCTTCAGGGCCTAGAAGGCTGCAGGAGCTACTTATAAACTGGGAAGCCCAGGAAGCAGCAGATTTAGAGGAGGCAGCTGGAAAAGGGGAGGTGGTTTGAATGCATTGGGCTTGATATGCTACCAGTCGTTCGAATACAGACGTAAGGTGTCACTGGCAGATGCTGCTTTCCTTCACTTAAAATGTAATCAGGGGTACACTTTCATGTGCCTCAGAGTCTTCTCAAAGGAGCATAGGCACCTTGTGGGGCTGGCACTGTGGTTTTTATGTTAGAAAAGCTCCAGGTACATCTTAACTTCATACTTCAATATCTACTTTCAAAAGCAGGAAATGTCACTAAAGACAGCTGTCTTGGCCTTGCAACAAGGGACTGCAAATGACAGAAACTTACAAAAGTCAACTTTTCTTGGCAAGGCATTCTGAGTCATGAGCCATCTCTGCCTGCTGAAAATCGGCCCTACCACCACCTACCATGAAGTCTGAAGTTATGACTTTTATAAAATTGTTTCTCTTACTTACACTACTCAATCTGTAACATACATTCAAGAATATATATAGTTGTTTTTCGTACCGGATATCAAACTTGGAACCTTGTGCTTGTGAGACAGGCAGCAGAACCACTGAACTAAATCCCCGGCCCTTTATCTATATTGTAACAGAGACGTTTTCTCATTAGATTTGCTTTACTACAGGGTTGTCTTGCTAGAAACAGCATTTAATTTTTTTTAAAAAAAGAATGGTGGTTAGAGAATAGGCCGAAAATATAAAAACTGCTGGGTGTGGTGGCACTCCCAGCACTCGGGAGGCTGAGGCAGAAGGATCACTGTGAGTTCGAGACCAGCCTGGGCTACACAGTGAGTTCAAAGGCTGCCTGTGAGA